AAAACATGTGCGTGCGTTTAACATGCACGCTTGAAGATGACCAAGAGAAAGCTATGTATTTACAGACATGTATATACATGTATATACGATGTGTGTATACTATATGTACATAAGCTGATCAAGAGAAAGCTATGTTTAAACATACATGTACTTACTTGTATATCCGATGTGTGTATACTATATGTACATAAGATGACCAAGAGAAAGTTATGTATAAACAGACATGTACGTACTTGTATATCCGACGTGTGTATATTATATATACATATGATATATCCTGTGTGTGTATATTATATATACATATGCATTTTTCTGATATGTGCATATTTACCAGGCGCAGTCAGTAGTGTGGTGAGGCATATATGTACGACGAGAATGAAGTTCACGCACTCTCACTCTCACTCTCACTCACACCACACACACTCTCTCTCTCTCTCTCACTATCACTCTCTATCACTCTCACACTCACTCACTATCACTCTCACTCTCACTCGCACTCAGGTTCACACATATATACACGCTCACACTCACACACACACTCACACACTCTCTCTCACCCACCCACACATGTGTTCTCATTCCTACCCCCACACGTGTTCTTAATCCTACCCCCCACACACGTGTTCTTAATCCTACCCCCCACACCTGTGCGTATGTCAGGCCCGCGTACAGCTGAACAGTGTGATGAAACTCATCACCGTGGACAAGGACAAACTGCTGGTACGCAACAAAGACGGTACCATTGCTAGCAACTCAGGCGGCCACTATGCGAGAGGCGGGGGTGGTTCTAATAATAACAGCCAATCAAACATCTCCATTGGATCCCAGACGCCCGCATACGGGTCGCAGACGCCGAGATATGGCTCACAAACACCCAGGTATGTTGTTGTTTTTGTTTGGTTGGGTTGTGTATATTTTGCTTGTGTTTGGTTGTGTATGTGGGTATGATGTGTGTTTGTTTGTTGGTTTATATTTTTCTTGCGTTTGTTTGTGTAAGTGTGGGAGTGTTCTGTATTGAACAGATGCTCATACATCTTCATACAAACGTACTGCAATTTCTGCACCCACACACGTTCCATTGACGTCTACATGCGGATCCCAGGCACTTACTGGGCTGACTGCGAAAGTAGCACCAATTCATTGAACACATTCATGCACATTAATATATATTCGTACATGGGTGAAGTGTGATAGCAGAGATGATTTGATATCAACACAGATACAGTCCACGGACTCATTACGAATTCATATCAACATAAACATGCACATTAATATACAATAACAACACACACATGCACATTACTATAGAATATCAACATAAAAATGCACATTAATATACAGTAACAACACATACATGCACATTACTATACAATATCAACACTTACATGCACATTAATATACAATGACAACACATACATACACATTACTATAACACATACATGCACAGTACTATACAATATCAGCATAAAAATGCACATTACTAGAGAATATCAACACATATATATACATTAATATACAATATCAACATAAACATGCACATTATTATACAATATCGACACATACATGCACATTAATATACAATAACAACACATACATACACATTACTATACAATAACAACACATAAATGCACATTATTAACTCTCGTACATAGGTGAAGTGTGATATCACAGTTGATGCTACATCAATATATAGATATAGTTCACATTACTATACAATATCAACACATACATGCACATTATTATACAATGACAACACATACATACACATTACTATAACACATACATGCACAGTACTATACAATATCAGCATAAACATGCACATTACTAGAGAATATCAACACATATATACATTAATATACAATATCAACATAAACATGCACATTATTATACAATATCGACACACACATGCACATTAATATACAATATCAACACATACATACACATTACTATACAATATCAACACATAAATGCACATTATTAACTCTCGTACATAGGTGAAGTGTGATATCACAGTTGATGCTACATCAATATATAGATATAGTTCACAGACACATGGGCAAGGTGGCGGTTCATAGACACTTCACGTGACGTTGGAGGTGAGCTACGTAAGAAACAGGCTAACTCAGTCACAACGCATGCACATAGCTATCGGATGTACATGCTGAAGTCTTGACACCTACACAACTAATAATACA